CAGGCTTCACAGGCTGCCCACAGCTCTGGAGAGCAAACCTCAGAAATATAAAATGGCAACAGCACCATTTTAAATAGGCTTACGTCCATCTTCCTGGCACCCGGGCTCACCAGGCCTTCCAGCACGCCATCACCTTCAGCTGCAGGACTCCTAGAACATGTGCAGCCAGGGAAATGCTCATCACACCACTTGGAAAAAAACCAACACCCTGCCCTAGAACACAGGTTTGTGCCCTACACCACAAAGTTCAGTGGCAGGATGATTTTCTTCATGAGCTACCCCCTCCAGTACCTTGAAAACAAGCTGGAGCAGCCCAGCAGAAGATTTTATTGAAATAATAGTAGTTACTCTACAAATTGAATAGAGAACAATTGCAGTCAAGACTTCATGTAGTGGTTTGCTAACCTTTTTTGGGGATGACCTGAATAAAAGGTAGGAGGTCTGATGCTGGCACAGATAACTATGAAAAGATTCATAGAATCATAGAATCATAGAATCTTAGGGGCTGGAAGGGACCTCGAGAGATCATCTAGTCCAACCCCCCTGCCAGAGCAGGGTCACCTAGAGTACATCACACAGGAACTCATCCAGGTGGGTTTTGAATGTCTCCAGTGAGGGAAACTCCACAACCTCCCTGGGCAGTCTGTTCCAGTGCTCTGTCACTCTCACAGTAAAAAAATTTTTTCGGATATTCACCTTGAACTTCCTGTGCTCCAATTTACACCCATTACCCCTTGTCCTATCACTGGTCATCACCGAGAAAAGCCTAACTCCGTCCCCCTGACACTCACCCCTTACATATTTGTAAACATTGATGAGGTCACCCCTCAGTCTCCTTTTCTCCAAGCTAAAGAGACCCAGCTCCCTCAGCCTTTCCTCATAAGGGAGATGTTCCACTCCCTTAATCATCTTCGTAGCTCTGCGCTGGACTCTCTCGAGCAGTTCCCTGTCCTTTTTGAACTGAGGGGCCCAGAACTGGACACAAACTACTCTTCAAACTATTCAACTACTCTTTCAGCTTCATTTCATATCAACAGTTTTCTGAACTACTGGCTTTTAAATCATACAATGGATTTCAGCTCCTCTCCACGCAGCAAACTACTGCTTCAGATCCTAAAACTTCCTTGAAAACCTATTCCATAAGTAAGACCCAGCTGTCCTGTTAAGATACACTGATGACAAAGATTTGTACACTAATAGGAGATAACACCTTTGTTTGTTAATGTCACTTCATCACACTGCATTGTTTGAAGAACTGAGCCTTTGATGACCATCTTTCTGTGACACATAGGATTTTTCCTTTGCCCTCACAGCAGGCAAGGGCACCACGCTGACTTCCACATTTCCTACATGAATACAAGACGAAAAATGCTTTCTCCAAAGTTAAGGTAAAATGGACAGTTCTTAAATCTCAGCTCCTGAAGGATACAGTCTGGGCAGGGTGACCGGGCTGTTTACACAAGCCCTTCCCAGTTGCATGCATCCCTGACACACCACCTCATCCTTCTCAATCACAGCAGTTTTAACCACCCTGTTGCTCTACTCTCATCATAACTTAGATCTTCCCATTCCTCAAGGGTGGAAGGTATATACAAACATTTAAAAAGGTCAAGGCTTCACTTACAGCTCCTTCACAAATTACTTATGTAGAAGAGTAGCTCTAGTCCACTTTGCCAAAACATAAAAAGACCCACACTCTGCACTGGGAAAAGCAGTATGCCTAATTTAACTACCTGTTTATTATGTGAAAATGACCATGTAAACCGAGCTGACACAAACCAAATGGGTGATGAAAATAACAGCACGTTTCAAGGAGTGGAAACACAGATGGCTCACTCAAGTCTGCAGGAAGTTACTAATCATCACCCTGTAATACCCTCTACAGACAGATCTGGAAGCTCCACAGGCAGAAGAGCCACTTCTTGAGAGCTATCCACCTATCCATCTAACCACCAGCAAGCCTGGATGCAAAGTCCTTCACTTTAACTTGACAGAAGGCTAAAGAGGAGGTAAAACCAAAAAAATGCAATGGATGGATGAATCATGCTGCATTTGCTGATGTGGAGTCTGTTACTAAAATTAGCTTATCTGGAGCAGAAAACAAGTCAGATGCTAAGTCAGACACATTAGAAAATGAAGTAGTCACATAGGAAGAGTGTGATTTATTTTTTTAGGACAATGTAAGCAGATTAACGTAACTGCCAGCAGACCTGCGCTGTAGTTAGAATGGGCAAGATCAGACACAGGGATTATCAAGGACTGGACAAGAAGACAACCAAAAGAAATGCTGCAGTTAGAGGAAGCAGGTAACCAAAGAAGTCATCAAGATGTAAAGAGTTGGGTTTGCCTCCATATCAGCATCCACCCTACTAGAAGGGATAGATCCAGCACTATCATGATGCAAACTCCTCAGTCTCTGCCCCAGCTCTGGTGTTTCTCCCCTCCCACAGCCACCTGGATCTCCATGTGGGAACAGAGAACACTTCAAGCAGACAACCTCCACCAAGCCATCAGGTCACTGAGCAGGGGCTCAGGGAGGAGGAAACAGACTCAATGTCACATATAAATTCTGTTGGCAAAAACTGTCCAAACCAGAGCAAATTACATTCCAGTGAGATAATAAATAACCAAATTAAAAATTAGCCGGTAGACAACAAGTTAATCTTCTTGCAACTTTTACTCCAGTCTCTCCATCACTTGGAATTCTGGAAGAAATCTTCTAATGTGTGAGATGTTATAAAAAATGTTTCGTTCTTAGTTCAGCCAAACAGAAAGTATTCAATTGCCAAAGTGCTGAAGACAACTAAAGTATAACAGTGATTAAGTGTAAATAGGTACAAACAGGGCTAACTGAAGCTTCATACCCTGGGCGCTGCATCAAGTTTACAACAGCTCAAATCCTCAGTAAGTTTACAAGAGGCTCTTTTGGCACCTTTCCTTACTCAACAATTCCCTCAAACTTTACACTGTTCTTTCTTTATGAACAAGATAAAAAACCTCAGAAACTTAGCTCTAATGCCTGAGTGACAGGACTATAGAAGCTGTCAGTGTGGAGCTATCCTGACACAGGCTGGTGGCAGGGCTGCTTCATTTGCAGAGACTCATCTCCTCCAGGGTCCTCAACAATGCTGCAATGCTTTGGAAATGGGCACTAACTCCTGCCTACCAGCTGCTCCCAAAACTCCCTTTCAGCTACTTGAGGCACACTGTCTGTGCAACTGGGGCTTGATCATACAGAGGTTTTCAGAAGCAGCTCCTGGGGTCAGAAAGGTGGCCACCCTGGGCCTCAGCTGAAAGACAGCCCCCTACGGCAAATCTTCTCATGCTAACCTCTGCCTGTTAAATAAAGCGGAGTGTATCCCACATCACTTCAGATTACCAACTTAAATCAGTCTAGAAATTCAATTTCAGAAGTTTTCACTCAAACTCTTTGATACTCAAAATATCTGAGACACAGAATGTGTCCTTGATACAGTTTCACTGTGCATACTCAGCACACCGCAATATGGTAGTCTGCAAAGCTTGATGTCCTGTTTGCAAACACAAGGTAGAAAAGTAATATGGAATATTCTGGGCTTCTGATACAATGCTATCAATGCAAGGTGGCTCTTGTGCTTTCCTGTCTATTGGAAATAACATAAACAACACTAAATCCATGAAATTCCTGAGCTGAGAACACAACAGAGCTATCACAAAACCTCTCATTTATAAATCACTCATAAGAGTGAAAACACAGTTCTTGATTCAGGCCACAGACACAAACAGTACCTGAAGTTGCACTGGCTCAATTGTGGTGCCTGACTCTAGCAGAATGCTTAATGCTTTAGTAACTGCTTCAGTTAAGGTTACTGTGGCTAATGTTTAAAAGCGTTCATTGGCACTTCCACAGTGATAAAGGTGGTTGGTTCACTGTGAAGTGCTTGTTTCACTTGGAGTAGTAGGAAAAATTTAAGATCTTAATTTTTTTCCTCCCACAAACACTGAGACTTGCTGAGGCACCCAGCTGCAGTCCAGTAGGTTCCACAAGATCAAGACTGAAGTCACTATACTCCTAACAATCCTTTTTTTTGTTGTTGTTTTTGTGGTTGTTTGTTTGTTGGGTTTTTTGTTTGGTTTTGTTTCATTCTTGTTTTCCTGTAACATGTTCTATGACTTTATATTCTGCTAAACACTTCACTAGGTCTGTTATTATGGAGATACAACACATTTAGACTGCACTTTGACAGTAATCCTAAAACTGCTAAGCCTATTGAATATTTAAACAATTACTTTTATGAATACAGTCTGTTAATACAGATGTTACCAAAATAATCTTAACTCCAGCACACAGCAATTAATAAAAAATGAAAACACTCACCAGGATAGCACAAGATTTAATTCAAACTCTATTAATAAATTAATGAAGTGAAATAAAATACTATGCATTAAATTATGTTTTCGGCTTGTTTATAATTTCACATATTTTCATGCTATTTTTTTCATATTATGAAACTGAATGCAAATTATTGAAGTACAATCCACCGTGGCAATGTGGACTTATCTGCTTTTCAAGTGTTTCTTCTGTAATTCCTACAAGCATTTCTCTATCTCCCCAGCATCCATTAACGACGTTACAATACAAAACGCATTAGCCACGCTGCTCATATCCCACAAGAACTAAAATCCACATCCATTTGAAAGGAAGAAATGCAAGCTACAGGGCTCTCCAAGACAATAGTTCATTTTCTCAAGTTTTTTTTGCTTTTACTAAAATAACACATTTAATGGAATTTCCTGTAAGGAAATCACAATTAATAAAGAACCAAATTGCAAATCCATTAAATTTCAGTCACTGCAGCAGCAAAACATAGTTTTCATGAACACTCAAAAAATCCAATAATGTAACCTCTGGTAAAGCCTGAAAAAGCCCTGAAGGACAAGGCACTTAGATCAATATTAGTTTATTTTAACTGCTGTGCAGTATGAAGAGATGAAGCTGATCATCTGATGGATTTTATTACCTGTCGGAGAGATAAGTCCTGGTGATAAGAGGCCCGGGACTCCGTGGGGCAGGAGACGTGCATTTTCTTGTATCGCAACTCCTAGTGAACGCTTGGGGGGTCTTCCTGGTCGGGAGCTGATGAAATAAGAGGATACATTAAAATGTATTTTCTTTTTGAAATATTTGCTTACTGTACATGGCATTGATTTGTATAAAATATATTTACTGTCAATGATACAGAAATTAATAGATAAATTCTTGCCTTGAAAAAAGAGAAAATAAATTGATAAATATGCAAGAATTGTAGATGTTTCAAATGAATTAACAATACACTGCTGAACACCACCTGTAGTTAACACAATCAGGATCTCAGACTCACATAAATTACTAGAAAACAAATTTATTTTTTTTAATCTGCACCACAAGACCAGAAACAGAGCAATCCATATTCCTAGTCCTGTTGTACCACTGGTTCGCTAATTAATATATTTTTCTTAATGCTACTGCTTGTAAAATGGAGCTCAAGAAATACCCACGCATGTGTAATTCATGTGTAAGCCTTGAAAACACAACTAGATGCTTTGCCCAGCTCACAAGCCATGGTTTGCAGGGGCTGCGGAAGAGCAGTGCAATGCCCACAGGGACACCAGAGCTGTTCAGACTTCATGGGCTCAGCCACTGTGCTCAGCCCCCCACGCTACCATCTCGCTCAGTGCTGACTAACCAGGCAGCTTCCACACCTACCTCCACTATCCATCCAGTAGTCAAGCTTTTTCATTTTCCAGAGCTCCCATAACCTTACAGATAGCTACTGGAGGCGTCACAACAGTAACTGCTCCCAAGTCGATGTCACACATCTGCACCACAGAAAACTAGAACTTCTGCTGCCTAAAGATGAGATGCTGAAACCCTGAATGCAACACAGTCTTAAACCTTGCCTTCTCAATGATGGCACCTGCTGATGAAGATGATGCAGTAACTAAACACCAAGCTTTCTCAAAACTGACCACTTATCTTTCCTGAATGACTGGTAGTTTTGATTACAGATTGGTTAAACCAGAAATGTTAGCCCAACCTGTCAAAAATCTCACCCTCCCTTGATCAGCCTATGAATTACAATTGTAATTTTTAATCCAAAATGTTATTGTTACAAAAATACCCCATTTATCCCCCCTACATCAGTGTGCATGCATGAAATTATCCTACACAGCTGCCATCATAACAGAGAGATCTACAGACCAAAACCAAACACTTCAATCAACTCTTCCCCAAATCAGCCAATAAAAATGCAACCTCCTCCTGTTTGGAAAAGTGCTGCTGCTTCTCTTTGGTCCAAACAAGTTTTGCTATGTTGAATAGAGCTTTTGACAAAATACAGTGAAACACAGTGTAAAATAACTAAGCTGCAACAATGAATGAGGTTTGAAAGTAATTTCAAAATTACTTTTAGTTCACAAAGAAATTTAAGTTAACTTCACTCTATCAGCTTGCAATGGCAAAGCCCTCCATCACTGTAAGATAAACTCTGCATTTCAATGAAGACAACTTCCAGCAACACTACACAGAGGTACCATTCACCTGCTCATTTTTCACAGTGTGCTAGTGGTACTTTGTTTTACTGTACATCAAAGTAGCACCAATTTTTTTTTTCTTTAATATTTTATCTTTATAAAAATATTCCTTCTCTTTTTAGCTCCAGTTTGTCCATTTTGTATTTCATTTTATTCAGTTTTTTTTTCCATTTTTCTTTTTCATGCTTTAAGTTGTTTATCATGCCATGATGGCTCTGTAGTAAAGCCTAGACACTTAAGGCTGTAATAAGTAAACCTAAATAAGAATACTCGATTTTCACAGGAAGGCAGACACACACATGCTTTCTTTATTAAAATCACCTGCTAAAATCATCCACTGCACAAGAATACTATCTAATAGATATTATTATGCTGGTATGTGGGGTTTGAAACAAACAAAAAAAATTGTTCCTCTTTTGATTCACAGAAGTCTGTGCTTACACACATGTGGTTACTTGGAACCATCTCCAAAAAAAAAAACCCACAAAATACAGCTAAAATTAGCAGGTTTCTCCAGCAGGACAGCTCACTCAACAGAACTACAAAACATTATCTTCTCATGATCAAATGATAACAAGTATTTTACTTAGAACTCTATATGTTTATAGTAATTTAAGGACAAAATTTAAAATTAAACAGTTTTAAAAGATTTTATGAAGGGACATTTATTTATTATTTGGGTTTTCAGAGGGAGAGGAGGAAGACAATGGACTCTCATTCCTGGTTATGCAGGTTTTCTCAGAATTTATTTCAATTACTCTGTTGACTCTACATATAAAACTCATAACCCACACGTTTACTAGATCAGATCTTCAAGTATTTCCCAAAGTATACTACAAAGTTAAACTCTCCAATCTGTGGATAGGCACCTGACAGAAAGTCCAGGATTAAATCTAAAAAAAACCCAAAAAAACACAAAACAAAACACCTCCTCAGCTCTCTTCCAAAGTCCTGCTGCCCTGCATTTACATCCTGCCTATTTATACCAGTAAGGCAAACACCACTGGGAAATACAGCCCACATTACATCTCAACATCCCTTAACACTGTTGGTCTGGTTCTGATGCCAGGAGACGAAACAAAGAGCCACCCAGCACTCTGATATGGGACTGCAGCATCTGCTGCAGGTGCTTCAGCACTTCCAGCTGGATGGCCTGGAAATGACCAGAGATCATGTCACCTCTGATGAACCAAGATCACCTGTTTGGAAGAACACCAGAACTCACAGAAAGCACCTCAGGAGCATATCTCAATCCAAACAATTCCAGTACCATTTTGGCTAGAAACATATTTCCAGGATTTTTTCTTTAAAAAGTGAAACCATAAATTTCACTGAGACAGGACACAAATGCTTGGTCTAAACCTTATGGAATCACAGAATCATCAAGGTTGGAAAAGACCTTCAAGACCATCAAGTCCAACTGTCCATCCTACAACCTCTAACCACTGAACCATCTCCAACCACAAAACCATCTTATAGTTGTTAATAGGGTCTACATAAAGGAAACAAAATCATTAGCATTTTGAAAGTTGTAATGCGATTTCCTTTATGTTATGAATATGCTGCTGTCAGGGCTAGGGCTGAAATCACCAACCAGTGACATCTCATTGGTCTGACTCAACACTCCCAGTACCTGGTATGTTTTCTGTCATCTTATGAAGGCTAGAATTTCAACAAAGTTCACATTTACTATTGAAAACCTATCTAACCATCACAGTTCAGAGAAAACTGCTAATACATGCCTGGAACAGAAATCATAAGGCAACTGCAATTAGCGCTTGGGGAGAGTAAGATATAATTAGTGATTGTGTAAGTATTAGCTTATAAATAATAACTTTATTTAATATTAATTTATTTGGTCACAATGCTCTTTTATTGCATTTTCTTCTTCACCTTTTCCTTCATCTCATTTAAGAAAGCTATGTAGTCAAGTGTATAAAAATATTTTCCTGATTGATAACAAAAAAACCAAAACCAGCAATGATCAGCTTCAAACAATTTTAAATGAGTGTTTTTGAGAGTCTACAATTTCTACATAAATTTTGTATTTCCTAAGAACAGCTCACTGTGAATGGAAAATGCATAAATTCTAAATTAGACGTTATTTCAGATGTAAACTGCTAGTTTATACATATATAAGTATATGCTTGACTGAAACAGAAATATAATACTATTTCTAATTAAGAAATTTAGCAACCTTACTCTTTTTACTAAATAAATTGGCTAACTCAAAATCTATACTTATTAACATATATTAATATTTCTCAAAAACAAAAACCAAAAGCCCTTGGGTCGTCAATAACTTGAAAGTTAAGATGACTGGAAGTTTTAGGTTTTCACTTGTGTTTACACTATGGTTATACAGTAATTTTTATCATCCACTCCACTCACCCCTGCAAAATGCTGAAAGAGAAAAATGCACTAATCTGAATGTTCATTTTTTGCATTTTGTTTGGAACTAAATTTGTCAGAGACTAAATTATGTTTTAAACAGTACATTTGACAGTTAAAATTTATAGAGTAAAATGCTGAGAAGTCATTTTGTCTGTTTTCCCCTTTCTTTTCCACTCCTGCTGAGACTTAATTTTATTGCTATTTTTCCTCTAAAAGTTTTATACATCCCCTAGACACCGCAAGGATTTTTAATTTTAATCAAAACACAGAATAAGGGTTTTTTGTGATTTATTTAAAACTACCCATCAGCTCCATCTTTTATAACATTATTTTACACTCATTATAGACAAATATATTTCATAAAATCCACAAATTCATCAACACTTTGTAAAATGTAATTAATCAGTGGAAACATACAGCACCTCAATGTTGATGTATGATGGCACTTTACTTTTGTGCTTTTAAATATAGGAGATTTACTAGAATCAAAAGTGAATTTGCATATTAATCAAGACAAATAAACATGTGGTGATTTAACTAGGAAACTGCTATTTGGATGACAATTTAATCAGCACAGGTTGAAAGGTCCATCACTGCAGCATCCTGTTTCTGCTAAAATATTGATTGCGTTACTGATTTCAGTAATGCTTTATTTTACAGGGCACAAATAACCATGTAATTACTCTTTAATTGAATGGTAATTGCTTGCTGGCAATTATTTGTTAAGTTTTGGAGTTTAATTACTAGCTTATTTGTGTTTTGTGAAATAAAATGTTACGTATTAGTAGCCAAAAAAATTTTCTGTATGAATGGTCTGTCAAAACTAGAAAAGTAAGTGACGATGGTATGAGTTTGACAAATAACACTGTAACACTAAAACTATTATTAAAATAAGTGAATCTTTGAATGCTTTCCCTTTACAAAATTAACATTACATGTAACATTTGCAAGATAAATGGAGGAATACTGTACCACAGAAGCATGATTTCCTCTGGGGTCTAGTCCACCATTTAGCATAATTTATCCTGATGTTTTGCTTTTCATTCTCTGGGCTTCTTTAGAGGAACTGAAATAGTATCCTATCCTCTTGAGAGAAAAGGATAAACCAAGTAGAAATATATTTTAACAGTACTTCATATTTCTGCAACTGAAGTGGATTACCACCAGCACATTATCTTAGCAGCCTATAAACTTTGTAGACTTGGCAGTTAGCTAGATAACAAGGGAAAGCATTATGTCTTGCAGTGTCAATGAGATATGACACATTCTGTGATATATTTATTCCAAGTTGTGATAGATGAGGTACCCGATACTTTGATCATTCAGATTTGAATTTTACTTCTACACTTTTCATTTTTGTCATCACCTGTTTATGAATTGGCAGTAGACAGTCTAGCAAGGACTGCTGATTTTGTTGTGGGTTTTTTTTTCAAAAGATATCCACTTAATAAATTAATTATTGATTCCATGAGGCTGGAGATATTTGGTATAAAAATATGCTCAAGTTGTGATTTAGGAAACTCTCATATGTATCACAGATTTATTCAATAGCAATGTGTTTTATTAGGCTTAAAGGAGAAATATCAAAGTATTATATGAAATGGTGTGTAAATTGTTCTGATAACAGCAGCAGTAACTGGTGCAAGTACTTGGAAGTAAAAACAAACAAATAAAAAAATCCCTAACAAAAAAACCTCCTCTAAAAACCTACTATCTTAACTTTACTGAAACTGGAACAGGACCCACAAATTAAAATTTCACTCTCCTCAAAGATCATTAAATACCTCCTAGTGATTGTGAAAGGCACTCTTTGTAGCCTTTTATCAATAAATGTAGCCTCTTAATATTTTGAGTTAAAATTATTTCCTTTTATTACCTGAAGATTTTGAGTCGTAGCATGGATTTAAAGTAATCTCCTTGCTTTGGCATTTATTACAACATTTCAAAGATGCCAATGGTAGTTAAACTCTACTTGACCTTTCAGTGTTTAAGAAGAGAAGCAAACTCTGACCTCGCAGCAACCTGATTCTGTCTCCTCTCGGCGCTGGCAAACTGATCACTTGTCTAACCATTGCAGGACATTGGATCACCGGCCACATCAAAGGCAACAAGAGCCAATTCAGCAGG